TCCTCCCTGATATTGCACATGCTATTTTCTCTGCCCTGCCCTTCTCCTCACTCCTCATTCAGACATTGCCTCCTCAAGAAAGCCCTCCTTCAACTCCTCTCAAGCTGAACCAGGAATCCCCTCTGGGCTCGCATCACACCCAGTTCTGGACCTTGTTTATTCCTTGTTACTTCCTCCCAACAAGGCTATGTGTTCTTTGAGACTCAAAGACCATGTGTTTTAACTACAATATCCTGCTGCTCTGCACAGAACTCAGTATACAATGGGGTTTCAATTCTACTTGCTTTTGAATGACTTAAAAAAAGTCCTACTACGGGCAAGCACGAAAGAGTGTGGGCTGCCCACATCCATTCTGAAGTGTTGGGGATTGAGACCTGTCTTCCTTTCTGATCCCTGGTGCCTACTAATGTGCACTCTAGAGGCAGCAGGTGATGGATCAAGTATCAGGTCCTTGCTACCAACATAACAGACCTGGATATAGTTTCTGGCTTCTTCTTTCATCTTGACCCAGCCCTGTCTGTTGTGGGCATTGGCATGTGAGCCAGCAGCTGGAATCTCTCTCTTTCCTGCTCTCTGGCTTTCAAATAAATAATAATAAATCAATAAATAGCATCTTTATGAGCCACAGGTTCATGGAGATGTTCCCCAGAGTCTGCGCCCTAACACTTACCTGCTGATTTAGACTGGCCATCCACGTAGGACTGATGTTGGTGTTTGTGTCAGGAAGAGATCAAGGCGGGCTATTTTTCCATATGGGTACACAACTGTACAACCTAAGACCAAGCTTCCCCCAACCCCACGCTTATACTGAAGTGCCCCTTTACCATAAATCAGGTTGGTTATTATATGCATGGGTCAGCTTCTTTGCCATTGGTCAGTTTACCATCCAGCTCTCTGAGGCAAAGACCCCATAATATATGTAAGCCAGGGACAATTTCAGAACTTGAGCTGTGAGTCAGGCCATGTGCAGTGGCTGTAAGCTGGTGCTGCAGATGAACAGGAAGCTTGGGGTGCCCATCAGGAGAGAGAATGCTGCTGCTGGTTCTGAGACACAGTGGGTAAACTATCACCATAAAGAGAGCAGATGCAGATGCAAAGCCCAGTAAAGGAGAAATTCAGGCACTGCCCTCAAGTCAATGGCAGGGGCCAAGAGAACCATGGGCCTCCCAGGGCTAAATTCCCTGGCTCTCAGCCCTACTGGCAGCTCCAAGGGAAGCCCCCCTGCTGAGCAGCTCAGGGCATAAAGTGACATTGGACAGTAGGGGCTGGAAAAGTAGAGAACCAGGAAGCAGAGAGATGCAGAGCAATGCCTCAGCTCCTCTGTGCACTGGTTTCTGCACCAGGAGCAAGCAAACGGGGAGGCAGAGCAGCAATGATTCAGCTGTTCCTCTTGGCCTGTGAAAACATCACACCAAGGGTCTGGTGCAGTAGCTAAAAGTTCTTGCCTTTTACGCACCAGGTCCCAGATGGACACGATTTTATGTTCCCACGGTGCCACTTCCCATCCAACTCCCTGATTCTTGCCTAGGAGAGCAGTCAAGGATAGTCCAAAACCTGGGACCCATCACCTGTGTGGGAGACATGAAAGATGCTCCTGGCTTCAAATTGAATCAGCTCTGGCCTTTGGGGCTGCTTGCTGAGTGAATCATCAGACAAAAGAGCTTAACCTCTGTCTCTTCCCAGCTCTATATGTCTGCCTCTGTATATCTGCTCTGTTTATCTGCCAATAAAAATAAATCCTAAATAACAAACAAACAAGTCAATGTGGTGGGGAAAAATGATCACCACACAGCCCTTGACACTTGCTCTCTGTTGAGTCCACATTTCAGTTTCATGTTCAGTAGAAATAGCCTCGTCCCTCCTGCCTCAGAGTAAGCTCATATCCCCAGGTCCACTGTGCAAGATGTTCTCTGTCTGCGTGGCCAACCTGCGAGCATGTTTTCTGTGAGATAAGCCTGCTTTCTTTCAATATGTTAATGCTCCCTTAATGGGGTGATAGATGCTGGGGGTGTTTCCTTGTGTCACCCTCAAAGATTTGAATGTACTGGGTGGGATCCAAACTTCACCCCAGGGCTGAAGAGGGAACTGACCCTAGATGACAGGTGTAGGTAGGTGGAAACCAGAGCCTTTGACCTTCCCAAGTCTAAATGGTGGGATTATCAAAATGGTCAATGTAAACCCTTCACGGGTGATCTGATTATGTTAACAGGTTCCACAGAACACATTCCAATCCAATCAGTTCACGGTTGACAGGCCTTGGAGTTTCTCAGAGGAACTCACAGGACAATGTTTGTTTCTACACAAAATACTTCCAGGTTGAAAATACCTACCGGGGTTGGGGGTGAAGCTATTTGCACCAGAGGGAGTAAATTGCATACACAGATGCAAAAAGTGGGGCACCTGAGGGCCTGCATTGGATGGCGCCTAAGAGTGATGAGGAGATGGTCTAATCAGAAGAGCCACCGGGTGTGGGCCAAGTCTAGGTGGCAGTTAGGCTGTCCCTTGAAGAGGGAAGTTCCGCCTCTTCCAGCTGAGCCCACCCAATTCGGTATCTAAGGCCCTTTCCATTGTCCTGAGCTCAGATTAAAACCATTCCACTTGCCTTAGAGAATTGCTGTAATCATTTAACACCAATAGTTCCCCATGCCCAAGATTGATGCAGTTAGGATGCTGGGTGCAGCTTCTCCCCTTCTCTTCCCACTTGACCCAGATAGAGAGAAAGGAAGAGAAAACTGGAATCTATGGTCTGATCCACTTTTTCTATTCCACCCTAATCAGTGGTTCACATGGCTATGCTTCCTTCTCAACTATGCACATCATTAAAAATTAAATTATAATTGCCCTGTAGAGTTTATAACACTTCAAGCTAAGTACCTTATTTTTCCATGAGGTCATCCTTCACTAGCTACCTTGGTGGGCGCTGGACAAGTGCTACCTCAGATGCTTCAGAGTATGAAGTGGCAGAGATACAAGACAGGCAATGTTGTGAGCCACTCAACTGCATTTCCACAGAGCACATTTAGTACATCTAACAGCAGTTCATAAACTCATGGAGAATGAAGTGAAAAGTATGACTTTACAGTGATACAAAAACACTTTTCCACACTATGTAGAAAATGCCTATAATAAAGAGGAGATGTATTAATTTAAATTTGTTAGCACTGAAACAAAATCATGTTTTAATTCTATGTCTCCATAGAAATCTGCATGGTACTCTTAGACATAGAAGGTCAAATGAAATTTACTAAAACCATGTTTTCACTTGAACTATTATCATATGATGTCTTGGATGGAGTTACAGTTTTCATCAGTAATTATGTTAAATCAAAACTTTGTTTTCATACATTCTTTTTGGTCCCAAGGCAATGGCAAGTTCCTCTTGCTGGTTTTGTAACAGCAGAGAGAGACATGGGTCCTGCAACCTCACCCTTTGTGCCCCAGGGCACTAGGTAAGCAGCTCCTATGACCGCTTGGGAATTTTGTCATTGGTTCCTCACTAAAATCAGAAATATTTTACTGAGGCCCTGATGTGTTCTCCCTGTGATCCCAGTCCAAGGAACTCTCATCCAAGCTGTAGTCAAGATGTATGACACTCTCTTCAGAGATGTCAAAATTGAACTTTCCAAAGCTGCTGGGAAACATCTGGGTGTGGTCCACCTGGAATACAGTGGTGTCATCTCTATGTACCCACAGGCAATTTTTGATCAGACAATGTATAATGGAAATCTATGACACACAGAGTTGTTTTTTTTTCATTTGGTATAGTTCTAAACTATGTCATCAATAAATATTCAAGTTATAAAGAACACAAAAATCAGAATCAGAAAAAACTTTGTTAACTGAAAAACATTTCTTGCCAGAAAAATAATTATACTTGAAATAATATTTCATAACTGATGCTAAAATACTTCTGAACAGAAGGCTTGTATGCTTTGTGGCCCAGTTTTATTAATAACATTTTTATATCACTAACTCCATCAGTAAACTAGGCTAATTTTCAGTTAACATTCAGGAAGTTTGGGGTAAATATCTACCTTGCTGCTTAAGTTTTGCAAATAATCCAGTAGATGAAACCTTGTGAAGCATCTTAAACTTGGGAAGCAGAGGCTCTTGGTGGGAAACTTGGAAAGAAACTAGTAAGTTCAAAAAGTTGCATGGTTTAGCTGCAGTCCCTTACGACACATTTGTACTTATTCCGAATTTTACATCTCAATGGGGAGGAAGGGCTTTGGGAAGAGCTGTGACTGTATCTCAGGGGATATATGACTCTATTATCATTGCTCAGAAACTTGGGCTCATTTTCATATTGCAGCAGCAGAGGTGAAACAGTAGGTAAGCATTTCTCTGAATGAGCCACCGCTGGCAGAGGACACACTGTGTATGGAGCTGCATGTGCTTATCCCAGCCAGGCAGGGTCAATTACAACCTCAGAAGACTGCCAATTACCAACAGTTCAGCAGAAAAAATTTTAGTGTGGAAATTATGTTCCCATTTCCCTCAACTCAGGGCTGAGAGCCAGAGTTGCCCCTCGGCTTGCAGGTTCCTGCTTGTAGCATTACCCACTTCTCTCTGTGTGGCTTAGTCAGATCAGTGAATTGTCTCCTGGATGAGAATGGAGAAACATTGCACCGCCACTCTGCACACAAATCCACATTCCCATCACTGTCATAGTTGAATAAATGGCCGAGACCACCCATAGTTGGTCATACATATATGGGAATATATATATATATATAGTTTTATAATTATATTGAATTTCTTTAAAGATTTATTTTATTTTTATTGGAAAGGTGGATATACAGAGAGGAGGAGAGACAGAGAGGAAGATCTTCTGTCCGATGATTCACTCCCCAAGTGAGCGCAACAGCCGATGCTATGCCGATCCGAAGCCAGGAGCCTCTTCCGGGTCTCCCATGCAGGTGCAGGGTCCCAAGGCTTTGGGCCGTCCTCGACTGCTTTCCCAGGCCATAGGCAGGGAGCTGGATGGGAAGTGGAGCTGCCGGGATTAGAACCGGCGCCCATATGGGATCCCGGGCTTGCAAGGTAAGGACCTTAACCACTTGCGCCACCATCGTGCTGGACCCAATTACTTTGAATTTTCACACTATAAATTTGCCCATCAGAATGTATGCCCCGAATCTCATGTCCTAAATAGTATTCTGTTCCTCAGGTTACAAAATACAGCATCCCACTACCTCCTGATTCTCTTTCAATGTTGGTATCTTGAAAGTGGATTGTTGATAGAAAGCATGCTTACAATAACACACAATGGTGACTTCAAAGTTGTCTTTGGATTGAAGAAATGTTGAAATATCATGGGTAGGGACCTCATCAGGTACCACAAAACAACATAGCTGATTTTTGAAAGGTGTTTTGAGAGCCTATAGACAGAAATTTCAGTCTTCAAACAAGTCATTTGATAAGGAAGCTGTATATATAGATAAAAACAATAAGATATTTAAATACCATTATTGCAACCCAAAGAAAATACACGAAAATAGAGCAATGTGTCTTAAACACACAACCTCTCAGTTTTGTTATAACTCCAACACAGTATTTTAATTATGGCAACCTTTACGTCTAATTTCACAAAACTATACTGCAAACACTTGAAACATTCCAGAGTATGTCACATTAGAAGCTTACTGAAATTAAGCTGCACTTCATTTGAAAGGCGGAATGGGTCAGGAATACTGCTTTGTTGCAAGGACTTATTTATCTCATAGAATTATTGCAGAACATCCATGAATGCAAAAACTCATCGAATTCAAATACTTAAGCATATATGGACCTTTTGAGCTTAACTTCCTCATTTGCAATGTTAATATGGAGCATTGGGTAATTTTATTTAGTCACATCTCTTTATCCAATAGGTTTCCTCAATAATCAATTGACATATTTTGAATGTGTGGTTAACTGTGAAGGACTATATATTTGCAATACTAGGAGAAAAGCAATAGGAAAATGACAAAGTGACAATCTTGCATGTATATTGAAACTGGTCTCCACCTTTACAACTAAATCAAAAACCATTTCACATTGGTCATTCTTTACCAGAGAATTATTTTTATTATTATTATTATCACAGAAGATAATAGCTGTTTAAGACAATGGTTGGTTGTGCATTTCAGACATGCTTAGGATAATTATCACATCATCACCTCTGAATTGTAGGCAATCCTTTTTCCCCTTTTACATCAGCAAGAGCACCAATTTCCTGATCACAGAGTGTGGTCATACATGCAACTCCTTGGGTAGTCTGCAAGAAATCCAAAGAGATTAAAACCCATATTAATTTGTAACAAACTGTAAATTGGAGAAATTAAAAAGAAATTGTAGAAGTATTCAATGTAATAACATTTTCTTCACAGTCATCCTAACCGCCAGCTCTATGGAAGCGGGCCTGCGATTTTACAGTGATTTCACATGCAGAAATGACTTAGGGGGTTATTCTGACTACAGATAAAAGCTGAACAATGCTGAAAATCAGTAGAATATTTTCCTATAGTATGAAGCTGATTTTAGAGGCAATCAGCAACTTGGTCCAAACTGACGAGGTCTGGTGATAATTTGCTCTAAATCACACTGTTGAATGAGAATAAGTATTTACAGTTTATATGATTACATTCTATACATTTAGACTTTGGAAAAGACTGAATCAAGTAGCATTCATATATATATATATATATATAGGCACACACCACAATGAATCTGTAGGTGGGGCCTTTTGACTTGAACTACATGTATTCACAACATGAGAAACAGTTTTCACAACAATTTTTTTCTCATTTATGTTGCCTAAATATTTCACTGTTTAACAGAAAGGGAGAAGATTAAGGAATACATTTTCTTTTCCCAAGAAGAGTCATATGCTAACCCTTATGTTCACTTACACTAAAAGCTTTGTGCATTGTTTCTCATTGTAACTAAAATGCCTACTTACCATGGCACACTTCTATAACAGTTTTCAAAAGCTTAATGTGAGTTTTCTTTTGAAAACTGCCATTTCTTAGGAAGACACTTGAGTCATCAAATGCAAGATGCTTGTTTGAGTTAATACAGTGTGTTCAGAGGCATATGGTCAAAATGACTTGCATGAAGGAATCAGGAGAGGGTGGCATGCGATCACAGGATACAAGCTATTTAACAATGAATTGAGGAGCTACTTACTATGGGAATTTGTTCTATGCTCTTCATTATTTCAGGGTCTTATACTTGTCAAGGATGCAATAGCTATAGCACTGCACTGTAATATTATGTTTCCAGTTCATTATGCTATGCATTTCAGCTCATGTGACATTTAAAATGTGAATGTAAGAGTGATGCCCATATAAAGATTAGGATTTCTCTGCTGCTTTAAGTTTTTAAATATCTTTCTGGTATACAGGGGGGAAAAACATTTGACATCTACAATATTGTCTTATATAGGGAAGAATACAGTAAAATGCATATTCATTTCATGTATTATTAACTAGGTGGAAACCTATTAATCTTAATTTTTAAACCCCAAATGACTTGCAGGTAACTTACATGTATTCTGAGTATGGATAGTTATACTTTGATGAGATCATTTACTGCATTGTAGACTGATTACTGCCACAATTTGAAACTGTAAAAAAAGATAAAAGTTGTTTTCATTGAATTGTAAATCATATGATCTCATATTCAATGTCAAATTATTAATAATTCTAAAGGTAAAGTTTCTTCTTGACTAACAATTCAGTAAAATACAACAGGACACTGATCCTTACTTCACTTTCATTCCTTTATATAATTTAAAGCTAAAAATTTCTTCAGTCAAGTATGTGTTTCTTTTTTTTTTCTTTTTTTAAGATTTGTTTTTATTTTTATTGGAAAGTCAGATATACAGAGAGAAATATTTTCCATCGATGATTCATTCCCCAAGTGACTGCAACGGCTGGAACCAAGTTGATTCAAAGCCAGGAACCAGGACCTTTCTTCAGGTCCCCAAGATCCTTGCAGAATCCCAAGGCTTTGGGCCATCCTAGGCTGCTTTCCCAGGCCACAAGCAGGGAGCTGGATAGGAATTGGGGCCTCCAGGACTAGAACCAGTGCCCATATGGGATCCCAGCACATTCAAGGCGAGAAATTTAGCCACTAGGCCACTGAGCCAGGCCAGGTGTTTCTTTTAAAATAAAGCAGTTGCGGTGCTCATGGTAAAGAACCAGGTTGCGGGAATTAGCTGCACGTAATAATATCATAATATCATAATAACTAGAACTCAAACTGTTTTAAATAACTAACATTTTCTAAATAAAACTATACCACATTTTAAATACAATGGCTTTACACAATTTTCAACCATTTCTCCCAATTCATGGAAACACATTTTAATACAAACCCGCCTCAAAACCGGAAGCAGCAAGTTTTTCAGATTGCCTTCTTTTAGCTGATTTGAGACTTTTCTTTCTTTTTTTTTTTTGTTTTAACAGGACAGGGCCACTGTCCTGAGTTTTCTGAAGGACCAACTTCAAGCATGCTTCTCTCTTTTTTATGGCTATTAGGCCTGGAGCCTCTTCTTATCTTCTGTTTTATTGAAATCAAGGATGTTCAGGAAAAAAATGTTCAGTTTGGCTGTTGTCTTAAGAAGCTACTAAGAATTTACTGAAGTTAGTTGGCAGGTTTAGTTATCAACAAGATGAAAATAACTTAAAAGGAGATATTAAAACAATGTAATCAAGTTTTTACACATCCTTTAAGAATTTGTTGTATTTCTATAAAGGAAATCTCACAAACAGTACTTTTTGTAAGTAAGAACACAGATAATTTTAACTATGTTCAGTTTTATTATTAAAAATACTTTAACCAATAATCATAAACATTATTATACATTCCTTGTGACTTTGCAAATATTCATTTACTTTAATAGAACATATGAAGTAACAAACTTGTCACAACTTTATAACACTGACACATTATAATCCAAATTATTTTAAATAATAATGCAATTATCCAAATTTGGTCTCTATCTTTGAGAGTTCCTGGGATCTTGCTGAACATCCCAAAGTCAGAATGCTTGGTTTAAAGCCTTGAAATACTTAGAGGTCCAATTGAATTTAACAAAGAAACCTTAATTTAACAAAGGGAAAAATCTCTCAGGTTAGAAAGGGTTAATGAAGTCAAACCTCTCTCCAGCAGGGAAGGGTGGGGGTGTCTGGCCAGGTCCTGCTAGATATCCTTTCAGGAGAGAGATTTCTAACACACACACACACACACATCCAGTTTAAGAATAAAAACTGAGTTTACTCAAGATGAGGACAGGGCTGGAAGAAAATATGAACTTAGGGTGGTGCATTGGGCTTAAGACCCTATTTTCGCTCTCAGTTTCAGGAGCCAGCAGCTGTGCTGGAATTTATTTTTGTTTTTATCATTTTATAACTCACCGGGAAAATCTCCCTTTTAACCTTTTCTACTTCCTCTTTTTTTTTTTTTTTTAATCTCTAGTGGCATTGAGTCTAAATAAGGTCACTTAAAGCAATAGCCTTTTATTTTGCAAAATATGCCCTAGGAGACTGTAAGAATAGAGTTATGCTTATCAGTTTTTTTTACACTGAACCTGTTAAACAATTTTAACAAAATGACATACATGAAGACAGACATAGGTGGCCACCACACTCACACAATTTAGAAACCTAATGGACCATAATGACATCTCCTATGGATCCTGACTCAAGAAGTCATGCTGCATCCAGGCCTCTTGAGTCCCAAATGAGTACTCAAAACAAACATATCAGATGGTGAAATATTTGTTTATAGGTAAAGGTCAGGGTAAATCCTGTAACTTGAAAGCCAGGATCGGCAACTGGTGCTGTGTTAATCATCACGGTGGTCCCCCCCAGATTACCAAGCTGGGCTCCAGAACACAGGATGTCCACTGCTCTCTGAGGCCTGCAATCTGAAACTTTTGAGTTTCTGAATACCTGTAAGGAATGCCAAAATTATCTGATAGAAATAGGATCCTTTTGTATAACACAACATAGATTAAATTGTTGATATAATACCATCGTTCAGATATGTCTAAAGCAAGAACACAAATTTTGTTACTATTAAGCAAGGAGATGGAGAATACAAAGGTTACCTTAATATGAAAGGTTGTAGATAAGAATTACCACATTGGTTTAGCTCATATTTATGTTAAGAGTTTTCAGTGTCTTGTTCTAAATTTTTAGCCTTCATCCCATTAATACTGAGAAGTACTACTCTGAACAAAGCCCAAGTGATCCAAAATTGCCCTGGAAGACGCTCATCTTTTCTATTTGCTTTTAAAATACTCTCTCTTACTCTTTCCCAGACATCTAAGTCTAAGGTCCGTTCATCAGGCAACCAAGGATTATTTTCTCCCACAGTGTCCCAGCACTGCTGCAGCTGGGATCTTGAAACCACAGTGCTGTCCTGCTTCAAAAATGATGCAGCAGTTCAATGTAGGGAATATACTTTTCTTCCACTATCTTTTGCCCCATTCTATGCCTGCTTACCTCCTCCTGCAGGGGTCATCTCTGCCTTTCTTTTTTTCTTTTTTTTGCTTCAGGTCCCCTGTTGTGGCACCAGTTGCAAGTTTACCTTGTGGGTTCCTGGGAGGAGATGCAACCTGAAGAATTGGAGGGACAATGCTCTTTTGGCAACTGACAAAGTTTATTTCCGGGGTCTCAGTTTTAATACATTTCATGAAACAATGATTCAGACATAACTCAGAATTAGATCATGTCTAAGAACACAGAGACAACAAAGAAGCTAACAAGGTGACCTTGTCAGAGTTATTGAAACAGGGAATAGATAATACTGTCCATTCTTGATTGACTAGACAGAGCACAGATTTCTGCCTATCTTCAGGGAGATCACAAAAACACATCCAAGGACTTACTGGGGCAAGAGCACACTGTGGGTGAGAGGCCTTCTGCCTGCTCTTTCCTGGAGCCTCTTCTCAACAGGATCCCACAGGCCTCTGCTGTCCCAGCTTTCCTATGGGCTGTGTTCCGACAGCTAGTGTCACAGAGGACTTGGGCTGTAGGCATCACTTCATGCAACAGAGATCTGTGGTATAGGGAAATGGATTATGGATGGCCTTTAGAGACATGGGCCTGCTCATGTATTTACATGCAAAAAGCATCTGTGCATGCAGGAGGAGCTGGGCCAACAGAAGCCATTAGGTGCATGGATGGCCTCTTGTGACAAGGGTTTATGGGTGCAGCTTGCACTCACGTGCCATTGGCCTCTGGTTACAGGCATGGCCTTGTGCAGCATTGGCCTTTGGTTGTGGGGATGGCCTTGTACAACAGTGCCTGTGAATGAGGACAGCCTTGTGTGACATTGGCCTTTGGGTACAGGACAGCCTCATGCAACAGGGACCTGTGTGTGCAGGGAAGGCCTCCTGAGATAGGGTCCTTTAGTTGCAGGGATGGCCTCATGCAGCTAAAGCATTTGGTTGTAGGGATAACTTCGAATAACAGTGTCCTGTGGGTGTAGGATGCCCACGAGGGACAGGAGCATTTCTGTTCCATGTGACAGTACCTGTGGGTGAGAACAGAACACTGGAATGACATTGGGCTTTAGTTGCAAGATAGCCTCATGCAACAGGGACCTGTGGGTGCAGGACATCCTTGTGCAACATTGGCCTTTAGGTAAAGGGATGGCCTTCATGATTTTCCAGCTCAGACAGCTGTCCTCCATCTATACAATAGGTAGTACTAAGTCATTCAATAGAGTAGCTTCATTCTTCCTCTACAATAATGCATGGCCCATTTAAAGGTTAAGGCTCCCCAAGTCCTGTGGTCCCAGGTGGGAGGCCACACCCAACTGAGCAGTTTCTGTTTCAGGCCACAAGCAGACAGTCATGTAAAAGTGCTGAACAGAGTCCTTACCAGTTAAGCTACACATTATTAAGACATCCCATTCCGAGATTGGCAGCAGTTCACAACTGTTGAGCTATCAAAACCACTTGAGCAAGACCCTCGGAGCATGCCCCACATCAGGGATCTGGGATGCATAGGAGGCTGGGTGGGGCTTCTCCTTTTATCACCCCATTTACCCCAGATACAGAAGAAAAAAGCCTGTGTGAAAATAATCATTTTACCCACTTTCCTGTAGCCCTTGAACCTTTGTGCCCTAATTAACCATGTAAAGATTGCAAAAATAAAGAAATAATAATAAAAAATAATAATAAGAAATAATAATATCCCTTTCAAGAATAGCTTGGGCATCTACAGCCCTGTTCTATACTTAATTCACAGTGTTTTAGCATTCCAAATCCCATTAATGCTGATGCTGCACAAAGTTTTTGTATTTATTTAGGTCAACCTAATCTGGGAAATTGCTTATTCCTTCTTTCAGCTCTGCCTGCCTCTTTTTCTTCATTATTTTCTCCTCCCCACCCCACTTCTCCTTTTCTTTGTTCTCATCATCTCCTTTTTCTACAAAGAATGCAGATGTATTATAAAGATGTGTCTTTGTCACCAAACTCTAAGCACCAGAGAAGTGAATTTGCCTTTCACTCTCCCTTTAACTGCCATCTCTGGGCTAATTTCTGGTAATGTGGTCCAGCTGTGGAAGACACTGCTGTTTTTCCTTTCTTGCTGTCTTTCCCTTTCCTTGTTCACG